CCGGTCATCTTATACGCCGGAAAATACGGTAAGTTGAAAGCTGCTTTTCATGGTGGAAAGGTGGGATATAAATGAATGGAAATAAATAAACAAATAAATGTAATGATGGTCTCCTACTCTGATGTCTTTTTAAAAATTATTCACACATTCATGAATGGATAAAAAAGCTATCAGCTACTAGCGAGATGTGACCCCCTGTACCAGAGAGAACATGCCACCTTTCCATACCAGATGCTTGGGAATAGGGGGAAGGGTACTATTGTATTCATGCTCTGTTTATGGGCTTCAAGAGAGATCTTGTAGCACCTTTGAGACTAACTGAAAGAAAGAAGTTGGCAGCATGAGCTTTCGTAGACTTAAGTCTACTTCAGATGCATTTGGTGGAGTGGAAAGAATGAAGATAGCTTTCTAGAATGTGAGAATGAAGATAGCTTTCCAGTTTAGTCTGATCCATACAGCCCCTCTTAGAGTTGGAAGTCCAAGCTCCTTTCACACAGGAAGACAACTAAAGCACAGCAAAAATATGGCCATCCAATCTCTGATTAGAAGCCACCAAAAAAAGAGAGTCCACTACCGTCCAAGGCTGTCTATTCCACTGTTGAACAGCTGCCACCATCAGAAAGTTCTTATGATGTTATGTTTTTCGTGTACCTTCTGGAAAGAAAGAGAGAATATTCACATTTTGCCCTCTGGCATGGCTCCTGAGTCACCTTTGCAATACAACATAAATGTGACCTTCTGTGATCTCTACGTGAGTGAGACAGAGAAAGCTGCAACAGCTGGGTGTCTGCTTGTTGTGTGCAGTGCCATAACTGTACAAGCAACAGCAAGCCACCCTAGGGCATAACAGGGAATAACTGTGGTTCAATTTGAGTTTTGGGCTCAGAAACTATTTGCAAAGTCAGAGCTGCTGAACCTTGGAAGTTATAAAATAACAGAAAGGTGTAGGTCTGTGCACATACAAGACCAGGGTGTGACACTGACGATCACCACCAACCTATATGGGAATATGAAAAGAAGGAGAAAATCACAGGCTCAAGACCAATAAACTCTCATTTTATAAATTAAGCATTGGAAATGCCATGCTTAATAAGGTCAGGCATGTGACCAACAGGGAAGGTTCCAGAAGGAGCTAGTGTTAATGTATAAACCAGGATTCCTCAGGCAGCAGCAGAAGCAGACTAGAGCTTGCAGGGGGAGTCAGCTTGCATTCCAAAGCAGCAAAAGAGAAATTAGATCAACAGAGACCCAGGCGTGTTGGCCTGGACTCACCCTCCTCCGCTTTCCTCTCTCTACTCAGTTGCTCTTGGCTGGGCAGTTCCAGCTACTGTGCTCTGTCTACCTTCTCATCTATTTCTCATCACCTACCCCTGATGCTTCGTTTGAGCGTTCATGAAACCAAAGCATGTTAAGCAACCATGAATAGGTAGGTCACAGGGATTGTGTCAGGAAGTTTGAAAGCCACTTTTGTCTCAAGGTTGCAACCTGCAAAATCAATAATGGACACTGGGGAGAGAGGAAAGCAAAGGAGGATGGAATTAGGATGGATTTGAGCCCACAGCTCTGTTGATCTAATTTGTCCTTTGTTTTTCCAGGACATGGCATATGTGCAGGATATTTAGATGTGAATGCCACTGCTAAACTATTCTCTGTACCTATTTTGTGAGGATCTGTGTGTGCCATGAATATTACAAATGTTCAAAATATACCATCCTACTTGGAATGAGCAAACCCAAAGAAGCCAAACAGGAAAATGAAGGAATAAAATCTGGCGCTCAAAGCCTGGAGAACTAAGGAACATTTGCACATATGATGCTAAAACTGTGCCTTTGAGTTTCAAAGAGCTTTTCTAGCTTTGGTTGCATACATTGCTAGAAATGCATACAAAGTGGAAAAGATACGTTTTTAGACATACTGTATTCCAACCTACAGCTCGGATTAGACCCCCAAACCAAGAAATTCTTGGTTTGGGGGGTCTAATCCGAGCTGTAGGTTGGAAAACTGTGGAGGGCATTTATCAGTCAGATTTGAGAATACTGTACTAGACTAGATAGACCAATGGTTTGTCTTGTATAAGGTTACTTCCTGTATTTCTATGCTCCTAACATCTTTCTTTTGGATCTTAGTGCAACAGTTGTAACAAATTACTTTTGCTTTCCAGGCTCTGCAAGCAGAATCTTAGGATTTTAAAAGACAGGCTGCAAGAATTTGTGCATTCTATTCTTGGGCTCCCTGATCTTATGATATTGTTGCTTTATACATTTATATATCACCTTTCTCCTGATAATTGGACTTATGGCTAACAACATATTTAAAACAATACTAATTAGAAACAATTCAAACTCATTAATAAAAGTATAAATATAAGATTTAAAACTCAAACAATTTATAAAGTTAAAACATTAAACAGTTAAAATATTAAAAATCATTAAAAGACTATTGTTAACTGCCCTCAAGTTGACTTTGACTCATGGAGACCCTGTGGATGAGATATCTCCAAGACCCCCTATCCTCAACCTCTCTGCTCAGTTCCCACAGGCTGAAGCCTGTGTTCTCTCAGATCAAGTCTAACCATCTGGCATGTGGTCTTCCTCTCTTTCTACTGCCTTGCACCTTTCCTAGCCACTGCCTTTTCCAATGATTCCTTTTTTCTCATGATGTGACTGAAGTACAACAGCCTCAGCTTAGTCATCCTGACCTCCAGGGATAGTTTGGGCCTAATTTGTTCTACAATCCATTTGTCTGCCTTCTTGGCCATCCACAGTATTCTCAGCACTCTTCTCCAGCACTTTCTATTCTTTCTATTGGCTTTTTTCTCTCTCCAGCTCTCACATCCATACATGGTAATGGGGAAATACAATGACTTGGACTATCCTCACTTTAGTGTTCAAAGTTATGTCTTTACACTTTAAGTTTAGGAACTTGTCCATTTTTTTCATAGCTGCCCTTTGCTATCCTATTCTATTTCTTATTTCTTGGCCACAGTTGTTGTTCCCATCAATATTTGATCCAAGATATGAGAACTCTTTGACTATTTCAATGTTCTCATTATTTAGGATGAAAAGACTACCGTACATACAAACCTTAAAAACAGCACCTCGCAGTATTAAAAGCCCAACTTTAGTTAGTTTTTAAAAGCCTGATGGCACAAAAATGTTTTGATCTGCTGATGGAAGGAGTGCAAGGACAGAGCTATCCTGTCATCTTTAGGGAGGGAGTTGGTCTAAACAAGCATGTTACATTAAGAAATGCTCTCATTACCTAGACGTTATCACACAGGGGCAAATCTGCTGGTTAATCCACACAAATTCCAAACAGAAACTGGATTTGTGCCCTGCGTTTTTACACGACGTCGCACAGAAACTGGACAGAAAGTGGACAGAAACTGGTGTTAACTGAGATCTTTTGAAATTCGGTTGTTTGGAGGAAATGCAAATGCAAAATTAAGGTAATTTCACATTTACCGTAATGTGAAAAGCAAATGCGAATTTGGGAGCATTTCCCTGCTTTTCCCATTGTTCCAGTGAGCATTCCTCTATCTGTGCATGTGCAAGAAGATTATTTCTAGTACATTTACAGCTTTTCTCACTTGTGTGTGAACGTTAAATGCGCTTACTGTAAATTCACAATTAAGGTAATTACGTGTGAAAACATTTTGCGGAATGAAGGTTTATTTTCAGTTTATTTTCAGAATGCCTCATTTCCACTTAATTTTCGCTTTCTGGCCCACGTGTGATAATGTCCCTAGTCTGGCAGCTACTTTTTCTATCTCTTCAAGATCCACTTTGCACAATATGGGCAGCAGGACCAAATTTGCCACAGACAGCAGAGTTCACACTTGGTGTGAACTGTGATCAATCCTGTCTCTCTGAGAAGTGTACTTCTTCAATGCAAGTACTTTGTAAACCATGTGTTGTATCTTGCTTGAAGCAGGATTCAACAAATATTTTATTCTGAATATTGTTACTCATTCTAAAAACACAATGCATAGAGAATATCACCAGGCCAAAAATTTGAACCTTGAGTCCATATTGACCTTACAGAAGTGGTAAAATCAATTTTCCAAGCTTAATTGAGGGAGAACTCTTCAAGAAGAAGAGGTGTCTCATGAATTTTCAGCAGCCAATACTGTGATGAAATGGAAATTTTACTTCCCCTTCTACCTGCAGTGCTAGTTGTTCGGTATAAATATCCACACATTGTTATTGCTCAGCTAAGCTGTTCTGTATACAATATTATTCTTTCATGTCATCATGTTGCAGATTCCTGACAGTAAGAATACACTGGAGAAGGAATGCCTGGACAGTGGGTTCCAGGCTACTGGAACATAGTGAGGGATGAAATTTATTTTGGGGGGAAGTGAGAGGAGATTTACCATTTATGGACCATAGTAGCAATTTCCAGAAGGATAACAGCATATATCACTGTCAGAATTTGGAAATGTTCCTTTCTTATTACAGCTTCCAGGTTCTTTCTGCCACCATGGCCAGTAGACATGCTGGTGAGGGATTTTTGGAGTTGTCCAAAAATGTAACTTTTCCATAATCTGCACCAACCTTGAAATATGGGTTGACGGTCATACATGATTTCACTACTATGTCTAGTTGCATCTCCTGGTCAACCACACTCTGACTTGAGAGTAAGTGGGAACCCTATGTCCAATGGGATATTAAAACTGGGAGTGAGGCATCCCTAGATGAAACAGAGGACATCACTGGGAGGTTTTGATCAGTCCTGGCTCTCTAGGAAGTGTATATGCCCAATGTGGGTCTACCTCATGCCTTTCTTACGCCCTTACTCCCAGACTCTGTAACTTGAGCAAGTGTGAGATTTGCTCTTTAGGGTGTTCTCCACCCTAATTCAAATCAGGGATGTTTTATTAAATATGAAGGAGGAAATGGGAGACTGTCAATGAGAGAGAACAAATTGTGGCTTTCTGGAACATGGGCAAATGTTCCATAGACATAGAATCACACATTTACTGTGGGTACAATTGACATGAATGAGTGTGGTGCAGTGGTTTGAGTGATGGACTATGGCTCTGGAGACCAGGGTTCAAATCCCCGCTCAGTCATGGAAACCCACTGGCTGACCTTGGGCAAGTCACACACTCTCAGCCTCAGATGAAGGCAGGGGCAAACACCCTCTAAACAATCTCCAAGAAAACCTCATGATAGGATCACCATAAGCTGGAAACAACTTGAAGAGACACAACAATAAATTTGGCATAAGCAGCATTCTATGGGAGAACTGTTGGACAAGACTTCTCAAATGCCTTTGTCAAAGAGTTCACATTAGTTGTGCATGACATGTCTAAGCTGCTCCACACATGTGTATGTGCATTTTGTGCTGAAATGATTCTACATATCCAGGCATCTTGACCCCAAAAGAAGGGGGCAGGAAGACTCAAGCCCCCCCTAAGATTATGCTACAAAGGGCCTCCCTTGAAATGATCTGGCAAAATTGGATTACTAAGTAGTTGGGCCTCTTTAGGAACTATTGGTAAGAAGTGTGCTAAATGATCAAGCACCAAGAAATGTTATGACAGCTATTGTCATTGAGCCCTTCTAGGAATAATAAAGGTTGTGTGCAATCTGTCCTATGCACACTTACTTGGGAGTAAAACTATGCTGAACACATGGGAGGCACCTCTGAGTACACATTGTGCCTGTAAGAGTCTTTATATTTAAGGATATTTGATTGATAACGAATGAGAAAAGTAACTTGATCTCCCTCTGCAGGTAGGGAAATTAATAAAAATCTGCTTGCCAAACCTAACCCCCCCAAAAAAAAAACAGTTTGGGGGTTCACGTCCAGAAAGTCCATTCTGTTTTTTTCCAGCTCTTCTGAAAGAACAAGAGGATAATGTGTCTGTCTTTGTTACTGTTGCTTCATCACCACAGATATGCTAATAAGCATAGGGCAGGAATGCACACAGAGAGCAGACCTCCAGACACCCATGCTCACACCACTGTGGTCTACTGACAAGATTTCAGAGTACTCCATAAATACAGTAAGCTGCCCTTGAAGATTTTAAAGAGCTCCCCTTCAGGGACTGCCAGACATTGTGATCCTTTGCAACAAGACAACGTTTACATCAGGGGTTGGAGATCAGCCAGTCTTACCCACCCCACAAAAGTGGGGGAACTGACAAAGCGGGCTGAAATGGGGCCTTGTTTAAAGGAAACCACTGTGTTGGATCAGAATCAGACTGATGATTAATCTAGCCCATATCCTGTCTCTGGGGCCTTGTACTCATGGAGCATAATAACTAGTGGCAATACAACAAACATCTGTGCTTTTTGAAGTGGAGAATGTTGGCCATGTAAATGTTTTGCATGCTTCTTACAGTGATGATGTCATTTCTCTTGATTCAGAGTAGCTAATTGTCACTATAGCATTACTATCCCATACAAGCAAGGTTATAGGAGCCCTGGTGGCGCAGTGGTTAAAATGCCTGTACTGCAGCCACTCACTCATAGACCACAAGGGTGTGAGTTCAATACTAGCCAGGGCTCAGGCTTGACTCAGGCCTGCATCCTTCCGAGGTCGCTAAAATGAGTACCCAACTGTTGGGGGGCAATGAGCTTACAGTTGTAAACCGCTTAGACATCCCATAGCACAATATGAAGCAGTAAATAAATGAAGCTGCTGTTTTGCTTTGCTTTGCTTTGCTTTATACTCAAAATTCTGCAGTATAGATTCCAATCATATATGGAGAGATAAATCCCACAGGTGCAAACAGGATTCAGAAAAGGAAGAGGCACTAGACCACATATAATGGTTAATGGAATGCACCACGAAATTCCAGAATATCAGCATGTGCTTTATAGATTATAGCAAAGCCCTCAATATCATAGATCATGAAATACTCTTAAAGACATGGGAGTGACACTACACTTGATAGTCCCAATAAGAACTCTGTACTTAGGACAAGAGGCTACTGTTAGAATAGAATATGGAAAAAAAGAATGGTTCCCAATTGGCAAAGGGGTCAGGGATGGATGCATTCTATCACCTGTTCAATTTGTATGCAGAAAATATCAAAGAGCAGGCTTAGACTCAGAAGAAGGAGGAGTGAAGATAGGAGGAAGGAATATCAACAATCCAAGATATGTGGATAACACCTAACTAGTAGCAGACAATATCAAAGATTTGGAACAATTATAAAGAAAGTTAAAGGAAGAAAGTGCAAAGGCAGGCTTACTGCTGAACATAAAGAAAACAAATATCCGCTCAACTATTAGGAAGAACCTCTTGATAGTAAGAGCTATTTGATAGTGGAATACACTGCCCTGGAAAGTGGTGGAATCTCCTTTTTTGAAGGTTATTAAACAGATATGGATGACAGTGCTTTGATTGTGGCTTCCTGCATGGTGTGTGTGTGAGAGAGAGAAAGAGAGAGAGAGGACTGGATAGCCCTTGTGGTCTCTTCCAACTCTGTGATTCTGATTCTATTATTTCTGCAAGGCTTAACTGACCTGGCTTTTATTTCACATGTGCATATTGTTTTGACTAAAAAGTTTGCTGGAACATGTTGATCTGCTCTTTGTGTGTGTGTGTGTGTGTGTGTGTGTGTGTGTGTGTGTGTGTGTGTGTTGTAGGAACCTATCACTATTTTTTCCATGTTATTTCTACCACTGGTACCAAGGTTTCTGTTAAAATAAGTACCGTAAAGCCTAGGAACACATCTACTTCATGACTGAACTCTACCTGTACTCTCCAAATCCTGAACAGTTTCAGTACTTTCTGGGTGTCATTAAATTACTAAACTAGTGAAAAATACCCTTTCTCTTTAAATTGTCATAATACATTTGGACCATTTTGTAGGTCATCATGCTACATTGAAACACCCAGGAGCTGGACCACCCTGTTCTGTGGAGAGTTTATTCTCAGAACTCTGGGTGACAGTTATCTTTCCTCACTTGGCCCTGAAACTTGGCAGCTCTGTATGTGTTGAGGAGAAGATAGGAGACCTTCACACAGGAACAGGCTGCCCACAGCCTAAACAACACACAGAAGCCTAGACAGCAAGCGGGTAAAATGCTGGGAAGTGTTTACATCTCCCTGTTTTGGAGAATAAGACCTCACTAACTGCTCTAAATAAGGAAGATAAAGTGTTCTTCCTTTTGTTCCACATCCCTGCCTGAAATAATCTGATGCATGAGGCACTGCGTGATTCTTGGTGGACACAGAAACTACTAGACTAAAATCCTTCTTTAAATGGCCGTTCATCATGTAGAGAGAGAAACAGGCTGACCATTAAAAAAAAAAGACTCTTCTTTATTTTCCTCGAACAGATATGCTTTTAATGGCCAACGTTACTGTGGTTGAATTTGAAGCCCATCCTGAGATGGATTGCCAAGGTAATGAACAGTCTCATCTGCTCTCACAGAATCTCATAGAGTTAGCAGAAATGTCAAAGATCATTTGGTACATTTTACTGCTGTAGTATCTCTGCTACTACAGTACCCCAATTAAGTGGCTAATCATCCTCTTCATCTTATGTCTTAAAATGGGCTAATTCACTTTATATACAAACATAGGGCCAAAACAGATGGGCAGTAAGTGCCGGCTTCCGGTAGTGTGGCGTTCATATGGCGCACATCCCCATGCCACCAGGAAGTGTTTACACATGTTTACACACACCATGCTGCCAGAATGCCGAAAAACCGCAGTAGGGGCAGAAAAGCCGGCACAAAAAAGGAGTGGCAATTTGCTGCTTCTTTTTTGCACTGGCTAAAGTCTGGAGTGGGGCCGTGGCATGCGGGTGCCATGGTGCCCACTTGGCTCTTTCAGGGGCAGTATCACATCGCCCCTTTGGTGCGGTCTGTTTTGCCCTATAGTCTATTTTTTTAAGGTTGCCTTGCATTATCTTGTTAATGTAGGTAGCCTTAGGTAGCTAGTTAAAAGATGAAACATACAGTTTAAAATAACCAAAAGAAACATCTTGTTCTTATTATCATACCTGACATACCCTGAGTTGTATCTGGAGTCTCCATATTTCATATCTGGAACCAGGCATGTTATTAAGAGGTCACAATGATTTTTGAAACACCAGGAAACTTTCCCATGGGAAGAACATGTAGACCAAAAGACATGTGAAAAATCTAGGTAATGCCAAGATAAAAGCTAAATGTGTTTGCTGATTGCTCTCCCCCCCCCCCGAAGCTCTCCGCATATCCTCTTTCATGAGAAACAAAGGCAAAGGCAAATAAGCCAACACTTCATACCTATCCCATGTTCGCAGACAATTTCACAGCCAACTTCCCTATCCATCTCTTTTGAGGTTGTCCTCAATCCAATTGTTATTTTTCTTACTTCAAAGTTAAAATCATTGGTCATTCCATAATTCCATCTAGGATCCTAGATATAAATATCAGTCCCAAACTTCGCATCCTCAGTACCAGTGTGCACAGAGAGATTCTTCAACTCACTGTGTTGACCTCAGACATCATATGAGCCACACTCCACTTTTTGTGGTCTCCTCTTCAGGACAGGTAAATATATTATCCCCTCTACAACTCTAATCCTCCACTATCTAATTTGCATACCTCTATTTTGGTTAGCTCTGTATGGTGTTGCTGTTTGAATTACTATTGTGTGTTTGGTTGTATTCTTGCATATTTCTAAATAAAAAAATCTTCTTTATTCACCAGACTTGGAACTTTCTGCAGTTAGTACTGGTATAAATAGGTGAACGTGATCCAAAAGCAGGGGTAGGCAACCTTTCCCCTTTAAGGGCCGAGGGACTTCAGCTCCCAGATGCCTCAGCCATGTTGGCCAATAGTCCCATGTTGGCCAATAGCTCCTGGGATTCTGGGAGCTGAAGTCCCTCGGCCCTTAAAGGAGAAAGGTTGCCTACCCCTGTCCAAAAGTTACCTACCCTCTCCCAAGTTTCCTTAAGCTAAACAATTCCCCCAACACTTAAAGAGATGCTAAAACAGTTGGTGGGGACACTCCAGTCCCCCCCCCCCCCACACACACACTTCTTCTGGGTAACATTCTCCTTCTCCCCACAACTTGGAAATGGTTTATTAAGAAAGAAATTTTCAATAATAGCAACAAGAAATG